TATCATATATGGAATATTGATAATAAATTTATTAGAAATGAACCTGATGGTGAATTTATGATGGACATAATGAAATGATTATTGCATACTAAATATTAATTATAAAATGGGTAATAAATAAAGAAGCTACATTGTAGGTTATTTGTTTCGAGTTTGTGTTGGTAAAATGTACATTAAGGTTGATTGCAGTGGTATGCATAATATGAGTTCATTGTGATAGACATGAGCTTGATGATTGATTATAAAATGATATCAATAACAGGCACATTGTCGAGAATAGTTGATCTAATTTGCATACAATCAATATGTACTGAAATAAATACCAATTTAATCATTTTGTAATTTAGCATGGGAGTAGCATAGGATGTTATAGATTTAGATAAGCTGTGGCCCTATATACAGGGGGTGAGTTTTCATTAAATCGTGGGTCATTTGATGAATCCTTGAAGCTTGAAATATCTACAGTAAAAAATAGTCTTTACTTAAAAAAACATCATTTCACACCACATATTATCACTTTTATTTTATGCAGGTTAGAGCAGTCAAAACAGTAACACTAAGATATTGTGTAGTTGGAATGTAAAGTCAAGCTTATACCAGTGATAGAATAATAGCACAGTTTTCATAGCAACCAAAATAGGCAAATGCTTCAAACTGTAGTTAATTGTATAGTACATGTAAATTTATAAAGTCTCTAGAAAGTTTATGAACAATAAATGATTTAAAGCCACAGATATCTATTTTTAACCGTTATTACACTCTTAGGCAGTAGTATAATATTGAATTTTGAGTAAACATGGTATTTTACTCATGTTGTGTACACTGTATGGGAACCAACATTCTCTCTTACTTACAGAGCAACAGATAAAGACACTATGAGGTGGGAGAGGAAGTGGTAGTACTTAAAGACAAGTGATGAAAACAGATCGACATTTCTACAATACATGTAGGTAAGGCAAATGTAAATCAACTGCAATATTCACAGTAATTGAATATCTTTCAGTTTACTACTCCATCTTTTTGAAGATTGTGGTCTCAAGTCTAATTTACCAGATGATTTTTTTCTTGAGGTAATGAAAATTACAAAAGCCCTTTCATTATGCCTTAAAGATGCTATCTATAAATCCCCTGTTTAAAAATTGACAAAATAGTGAAGTTTTTATTTTGATATTTCTTTAGTCTTTATCTTTTAGGTTCTTTTTTTATTGTTTGTTTGTTTTTATCACATTTGTTTATTCTTGTCTTGTTATTCTCTTTACCTTACTAAATCCTCTGATAATTTAGTTGTGTAATAAAGTTATTATTATTATATAGAGTTGTTCAAGTGAGCCTCTGAGATAATTTACCAATGAGACAATCTTTAAGAATAAAAAATGAGGCCATTCTTTATACAACAGAAGGGTCCAAAATTGAAATGCTATCAATTCGCTATGAATATTGCAGTATTCATTAGATTATTCTTAGTGGGGTTTGACTTTGTGGCACTTCCATCTTTAAAGCCAGCGCCATGGAAACAACCATTGTCACCAGGGGTGATGTGGGATGAAATCATATACACAATATACTTTTTTCAACTTATTGTTTGATCCACAAATCTCATGTACCGGGGTATGTGTTATATTGAGTATGAATATTATGGTTGTATAAATATGGCTGAATATCATGAGGCGTAGTCGTCTATATTCAAATTGCAATTGTTGACAAGCCTTGCTCTGAATCACGTCACATTGCAGATAATCCCATGGATGGTTGATTTTGTGGGCAATATTTCTATGTGAAAACTATTTTGAATCAGATTTTGAGTGAAGTAATTGCATAAAATATTATAAAATAATATTATTTGTATCATAGAGCATTCTATATGTAAAAACATTGAATTATTATGTGATCACAAGCATACAATTTAATTTCAAAATTTAATACCTTTATAACATTTTCATCACCAGAATTTCCCACCCAAATTTGTCTGTACTTTTTTTCTTATATTCTTCAATATTTCTAGAAATGAAGTCTAATTTTTGACCCATCAGTAAAAATTTGAGTCAATTTTTGTTTTTTACTCAAATAATTTGGCATTTTTGTCACAATCTTCTGAAAGAAAATACAGACTTTGAACCAATTACCATTGTCGTGCTTTAGATAGTAATATTTGTGAAATTTGTATGTGTTAAATATGTTCTAGTAGTTAGTGTAACCATTTCAATTTCTTCTGAGGAATTTTAAGTGTTTCAATAAAACTAACTATAAACTATAACTATAAACAGGACTAGATTGTGAATTTGTGATGAAAAAAGAGAACTGGTGGCGAAAAGGTTAATCAAACACAGTGGTACTTTCTAGACAATTTCAAACAAATACAAAGAAACAACAAATGTTCTAAAGAAAATTGATAGTCTAAGAGTGATTGTTATGATCAGTTTATTTTGACACCCGCTGTAAGTCCAACAGGTGGAAGATATAAAACATACGGGTGATTTATAATACGATTAGATATATTATTCCATGTAGGAATTACAGGGACAGGTGCATTCAGTGATTAATCAACTGGTTTCAATAAAATCAAAACCAAAACACAATCAAGAGAATACGTTTTGTTGATCTGTTCATATAAAAAGTATCAAGTCTATTAATTATTGACTATATAAGGATTGTGAGTCATAGAGAAAATGCAAACATCCAAAATCACTATGGCAACAATGACAAAATAGTATGCTTATTACATTCAAAGTGAAATACATTTGTTCGAATATCCTCTCGAGAAGAGAGTGCTTTTCTGAAGCAGTCGTGAGTTGACTGACTAAATATAATCACCATTACGATTTGCATAAGTTATTGGTCCAACTTAGTTAGAGGCTGGATATATATTAAAAGCTACTACAGCCTTGACTGCTTGTTTGCCCGATTTAATACAATTTCAGGCTAGAATGTGAATTAGGCTGATGAAAATTTGTTGTGCGTTTCAAATTCAAGGTAATCCATTTTAAAATTGAAATCCTGCTTTGTAATGAAAAGCTGATAGTTATATGAAAATGGTAATAATAGTACTGGTACAAATAGTAGAATACACAGGTTTATATGTTGAACACCTACATGTGCTATGTGACCACCGGTAATACATGTAGTTGGTTTTCTCAAGTGAGTAATACATTTCCCATGGTAACAAAACAATGTAACATTTTCACAGCATGAAAATGAAAAAAATTGTACTATTCATTTTGATATAAAATACTGAATCTAATAAAGCTTAAACATGTGATACCAGTATTTGTTAATACAAGCTCGGTAATATCCATGTCTGGTTTTAGACAAGGGGTTAGCCAGCCACTCCATATTTTAGTGTCTGGTTTTAGACAAGGGGTTAGCCAGCCACTCCATATTTTAGACAAAACAACATTTCATTCGACAGGCTAAATTTCTACAGACCAGTTTATACTTTACAAAATAAATATTAATTAAAATCATTTCCAATATTAATTAAAATCATTTCCAATATAGTTTGTAGACTTTTTATTTTCTGGCTATAACCATGGTTTTAGGGTACAGTATCCTATCCCCACTAGTGTTATTTTATGACCATAGACACATTTACCTCCTGTCATCTTTTTTGATGAGTTGTTAGCATGCAGTTTTCTTATTGTCAAATGAGTAAGTACATTATATACAAAAAAACAATAAATAAAAAAATTAAATCACATGTCTGTGGTTATATAATTTCCAATATACCGGTAGTTTGTAGACTTTTTATTTTCTGGCTATAACCATGGTTTTAGGGTACAGTAGTCTATTCACACTAGTAGTATTTTATGAACATACATGTACCTCCTGTAATTTTTTGTGATGAGTTTGCATGCAGTTTTCGTTCTTATTGTCAAATGACTCATAATGTACATAAAAGAAAAGAAGATATGACACATGTACTCAGTCAGAGAAGAAAGTAATAAATATAAACAGAATTATAAAAACAAGTTGACAATACATGCGAGTCTCAAATAAAAATTTAGTGAAATATTTAGCATTTATGCATACATAATAAACCACTAACTCTCCCCATCTTTTATGTGGGGTTTATACAAGGAGAAAAATGTATCGTGCAATTCAAGAAATTACAGTTAAATTACAATTAAAGGACACGGTATGAA